AAGAGGGAGGATATATGTTTACCCCTATGCTTGTGGCTTAATAGCTCCATATGTTTGTGAGAAGAAGTGACAGGCAGAAGTGGGGGCTGAAAGAGGGCCAATTACCCTTCCATGGGCATGCTTCAGTCAAACCTCTGCTCTCTGAGCCAGAGACAGTGTTATATACACCAACCACAGCACAAAACACATCTCGCACACTTAAACACACACTTTCAGAGGCACTCAATTATCTGTATAAGGTTTCCAGAGCTATATCTCCAGGGGTTTTTTGTTCAAACCTGTAGTTTTTCATCGGATTCCTATTGTGTTTTCCGTTTGCCCTATTGTATTGTTTGATTCTTTTGGATACGTTTGATCTTGTGATGAAAATGTCTTTCAAGCTGCATTCAGATAAGAAAATTGTCTTGTTAAAACCTGTTGAAGTTGGCGTCTCTACACTGTTTCTCTCTTTCACACACATATTTTACTGTGCCATATCACATTGTAAAACACATAATGGCATGTAGAACAATAGTATGACTAGGCAAGCTTCTCACAGAACATGATATAAATCGTAGTTACTTACGAACAATAACGTAAAAGGGCATAACCTTGAACACAATGCACAGTCAGATCAGAAAAGACTGTGCAAGTGTGGGCAAAGATAAAAAAGGGAGAAGGAAGAAAGCCCGAATGTGAGAGAAAGAGAGACGTTCCTGTGTAAATCCCGCTCTGCTCCGGCCAGCTGACTCTTTTGTGAGTGCAGATGTTTGGGCTGAGTGCCGAGGCTGGGTGCAGGCAGGCCCACAGGAACTGTGTTGGCACTTGTCTGGCCTGCCGTTGGGCCGCTCATTGTCTCAACCTGTGCGCATTGTTCACTATCTCCCCCTCCTCCTTTCTCCGACAGGTGATAACTACCCGGTGCAGTTCATTCCATCCACAATGGCAGCTGCTGCCGCGTCAGGACTCAACCCTCTCCAGCTCCAGGTATGTACAGTCACAAAAGAATTTACGGGCAGTGGGCCAAGCCCTCAGCACAGTGTGAGCAAACCAGCTGTATGCTAAATAACAAGTTAGAGCTAAATCACTCACACACCGGTCCACCCCTACAAGCTTAACACCTTCCATGTGCAATATAGCCCATTTTTACAGCGCAGTCTTGACGCCTGTGCATGGGAACCGGTTGTTGCATCATTGAAGGGTATTTCGGAGGCCCCTTGTGCCTTAATTGCTTTCTCTTTTGAGTAACTTTGTGGTAACGTTGCGTATCATAATGATGGAAGAGCTTCCAAGACCCTCCGGGCTGCCTTGGGAGCATTTCTCAGACGCTATCTCTATGTGCTTAAATATCGATTGACACCTTCATTAAAGTTTATCTCCTCATGCTTGTCATTTTAATTGTTTCTTTTAATCCAGATTTTTGTTTACTTTCAGAAAGAGCGTGTTTTATTTTTCCAACTAATGCCGTTAGTCCTTCCTGCTTACTCAGAGAAATTAATCATTAGACTTGTGCTTTGAAACTTTAAATGCACCTAAGTTCCTCTAAGTTATTTGAGAAAAGACAGAAGGATCAAATGAACGAGAGCAGAAGGCGATGGAGCTCGCAGCCACATAGCGGATTCATTTATTCATTTTTTTCTCGCTTTTTTATTCATAGACATTTGTTGTTTTGTCAACAACAGTGGTAAGCGGTTGATAGCAATTAGACATTAAGCTCTCTGATAGCTGGGAATGTTACAAAACAAAGCTGAGAGCGGAGGGAGGAGGACGTGCGGGGGAGAGAGGATAGGAGAGCGTTTCGTACCTTTTCTTCTTGCTGATACATGTGCACAATTTGTCCTTCAGAGCTTATCGCTCTCAGCATTAATGAGCCTTGGCAAGTTGGAACAATGCTTGCAGCTGGAGCTGGAAAGGTCTTTGCTATAGCATGCGACTTTGGGGAGAACAATCATCTGTGTTGAAGGTGTGGAATGCATCTATTCATGTTAAAGAGCGTGAGTAGAATATGCATGCACTTGTAAAAACGAGCTAAACAGGGAGCGAGCTTGTGATGCAAAAACAAATTGAAAATCATTTGGATCCGTACGCGTAAGCGCGTCTTCCCTCCTCCCTTAGGAGTAAGCTGCAGTAGCGTAACCAGGGGCCGTCCCATCTATTAATAGCATTTCTGATGGGTCAGCTCGAGTCTGGGATAGTCATATATCAGGAGGCACCGAGACCTCTCAGCCATTCATTGTGATAATAGATTTAACCCTGGGAATGGGCTGAGAGCAAGCCTCCGAGTCCATGACTTGGCTGACCTTTAGAAAATACAGTAAACACAAATGAGTTGCATTCCCATTAATTGAAGTTTGCCTGTCTGCCGCAGATTTAGCCGAGCAGATTGGTATTTACTCTCCGTACCCTTGAGTCTAAGAAAGCCCGGCTAGTCAAACATACCCTTTCCGCCGCAACTGAGCTTCGATCATCACGCGGAAGATGATTAAAAATGATCAGGACGGAGATAGAGGAGATGAATCTCATTCCGAGTGCGACGGTAATGCCGTTAACGATCGTGTTTTGTCTGTCGGGCTAAGACATAGAAGTTGCACACAATAGTTCACTTTGAGGACAAAAGTGCAGGCAAAACATTCTTTTGAAAGAAAATGATGAGGTTGTAATTAAGTGAGAAAGGGAGATGCGGACCGATTTGTACGGCAGTTAGCATGTGCTAGCATGCGGTCGGGGCTGCTTTTGTCTCTCTTCCTTTTTGGAGCAGAAATAACCAGCTTTGAATTCCTGTCTTAAATCAAAGGAAGCGGATCTTTCTAAATATGTCAGATAAATGAGGGCCAGCACTGGGTCAGTGTTAATGAGAGGTATGTATGGACTTGTCTGCTGTGTCTGGGTGATTATCTGTAATGGCAGTATCACTGAGCTCTCGCCGCTTATGCATCACTGATCCGCTCGGTGGGAGTGACCTCACCTATGAGATCCCCACTTCCTGTGCCAGTGGACCCACCCACCCCGTGCCACTGGCTGGGTACATCTGTCTAATTAGAATATCTTCACTTGTCAGCAATTCTGGCAAGGTATCATTTTCCCTAATTTTCTCAGTTTAGACTGGGGAAATATATGAACCTTAAAAAATGCTCTGATTGGAAAGGAATTAATTCCCATAATGCTGTGCTCGGTCATGCAGGAAGAGAGACGGCCGCTCTGCCAGTCTTAATGTTGCCGATGCTACGGCTCACAATTTTACAGTGTCATAACAGTTAGTGGGCTGGTTGTTGAATGTCTCTCTCTCTTTCTGTCTCTGTCCTGTCTCTTCCCCGTCACCCCGGCCCATCCGCAGGCTAACAAAAGGCCTCAGGTCCCGGGGAGTGGAAATGAAAGCGGCCAGGCGATCTGAGAGCGTAATTTGCTTGTCAATACATTTCCCTCGACTGCGCCATGCGCGTACACGCACCCGCTTGTCACCGCGCGTCCCAGCGCGCCGAGTAATTTCGCTCAATGCGTCCCTGACAGATTGGCCCTCGTCTGCAAGTCACCAGAGAAAAGCCGCTCAAACTATTCCCCAGACCGCATGTCTCTCTTCATTAAGACCCTCTCAGGGTTCAGGATGAGCTGGGCACGGCCTCCAAACAATGGCTCCATCCCCCGGCGTTGCTTCCCTATTAGAAGTGACACCTCTCACCTCCAGGCGGAAATTGTGTCGGATTGTAGCCGTATGGCCAGACAGTCTAAAAGGAATTATCCTAATTCTACAAAAGAATTCGATTTTATTTTTTGTCTGCTTGAATTGGCATTTAATTTGCCAGCGTACAAGATCACCTTACATCAATTGCTTAGAGGAAAACAATTTCCTTAAAGCCATTCTGTCCTTGATATATTGTTTTGCCAAGAGCCCTATACAAATCTCAAGTCAACTTGTGAGAGGCCTGTTTTTTATCATTGGAAGCAGTCTTTTGGGTTTAAGCAGTCCTAAAATAAAGCATCATGGGATAAAGCCGAACATCTGGGTCTTCCCTGTGGCATATAATAGAGGGAGAAAACACAAATAGGACCTGCTGACCTCTGTCCTGCTCTCTCTTTTACTGTTTTTTTTACTCCTTTCTTTATTTCCTAATCTTTTTCTCTCTTATTCTTCAATCTCACTTTATCTCTTTCTTTTAATTCACAAACTCTGTCACAGTTTTAAACTTCATGCAAATTAATTTACTGTGTATATATAACGTTCTTTAATTTATACATATTTAATTTAATAATTAATTTAAAAAATAATAATTCATTAAAAGTAATTTCTTGTTTCTATTTCTTTACATACATTTTATTTTGACCCAATGAAAGCCCTTAACACTTTTAATAAAGCAATTGTGTTTAATGCACATTTTAGGTGTTACAGTAGGTCTGTTATCAAGGTTTTTATTAATTTAAATCATGTCACCTGATACTTCAATTTTAAGTAGCATCTATTAAATGATCCTCACAGACCCCAAACAGAACATGAGGGTTAAATTTATATAGCATTTCTCAAGTTAAAGGTGCTTTATATAATGCTATTATTACTGCTAACACATTTAAGAGTCAGGGAAACTTCTCCGAAACTTCTGCTGGGGATGAGGGAAGAGAGGAAATACTGTGTTATCTTTTGTTTGGATGCTCATGTCTCTGCATTCCGGATGTGTGGAGGGAGCAGGGCTTTCTGCCACAGCTAACAAGTGGAACACTTTTGACTATGAGCTGCAGAAATGAGAGCGAACAGCTGCTGGTGTGATTGAGGAGGAGAGGAGAGAAAGAAGGAGAGGAGAAAGGAGTGGCGCGTGCTGTGCGAGACAGACTCTGGAGAGATAGCCAGAAGACAAGAGGCAGTATGAGCACGGGGCAGAGCCTCTAATGGGAGGGATAGGTGGACATCTGGATGGATGGAATTGTAAAACAGAGAGGCAAGTAAAAGAGATACAGACCATCTAGCTTAGAATGACCACCTGGGTTGATACCAGCACAGGGTTATTATTAGTGTAGGCTTGTATAGCAGAAATGCGCAGAACATATCCTACCCTTCAAGTTAGAGGAGCTATGTAAGGAAATAGAAGGAAAAAATGAGGTGGATGGGTTGAGATGGGGGAAGGGGCAAATGAACGAGGGAGCAGGCTGGGCGCCAGCAGATGGGACAGATGTCTGGCCATACTGGAAAGCATTGGCGCAGCGCACTAGCGCACCCCTGCTTCCCTTTCTGACATCTGGGCCAGCCTGGGTCAGCCCGCCTGCCTTGGGCAATGAGCCTGGACAAGCCTTGTGGCAAACGGGCGCGGGCGCCCCAATGCTACTGAAATGGCAGAGTCGGCCATGCGGCAGTAACGCAGTCCTCTCCCCATGCTACCGCTCAGCTGTGCCCATACAGAGAGCCGAGGAGGACGCACAAACACAAGAGCCTTAGTGTATGTAATTTAGTGTGCTTGTGTGTTGACGTATGATAATGTATCAGTGGGGTTTTTTGGGCCTCATGGACACGTTTCAGTGAGCTCAGACTGGGGCCTGTGCGAATAAGTTGGAGAGACAGTCATGCACCATTATAGCTAGAAGCACTAAAATTGGCTAAATCTGCCACTGTATTTCACAGCATCTGCCAGAGAGCAGTCGGCCCCTCTCTTTAAGAACAAACAAGAGACTCAAGTTGTTTTTTTTCCTCACATGATGGCCTATTTGCCCGTCATATGTGCTCAAATCTAGTGTTTCATGAGCCATTTCAGTTTGCGGTCTCATTCCAGAGAAAAATTCAGAAAATATACACACTGTGAGCACTGTGAACCATAAAGGTTAAGTTTATTACCATTGAAAAAAATCATACTAACCCCAAATCTTTTTGTTTATTTTTAAAGAAATAGATACTTTTATTGAGCACGTACATATTAAACTGCTCAAAAGTGGCAGTAACTTCCTGGAAAAAAGTGTATAGTGGTTTAATGTGAAACAGCGCAACATTGACGTAAATAAGAAATGTTTCC